CACCATACAAATGAAACATCCAATATTTAAACTGAATGCTAACTATAAATCACACGTATTTTTTTTAACACAATTTTATAAGCTTCTTTGTAATACAACATAGATTTGAATTACACTAGTTCCATCTATCCGTTAAATCCACCAGAAAGGACCTTATAAATTAAGACTTTATATTCAGGATTGATTTAAAAGAATGGATTTATTACATAGGCAGGATCTGCAGCTTGACTACTATGTATTAAACAATGTTATAAGTTACATTCTTTTCTTTTCAAGTTCATTTATCACTAACACCAAACAACAGGTCCTATCAGCTCACAGAGCTGTCCATCAGGGGCAAATGTTTGGGAAAAAAAAAAATCGCTTGAAATATTTACAGTTAAAGGTACTTGAGCATCTGGAACTTGCTTTAATATACTTGTTCGTGAATGACAACAGCGTGGCTATTTTAATGCAATTGAAATTGAAAGCTACAGATGCCCTTAAAGACAATTTACTACTGAAACTATTCTATAATAATAATAATAATATAAGAGCATACCAAACAGAATTTAGTAGGTTACATCTCTTATACCTACTCTTGGCAATTAATATCTTAATATTTTGGAGTTCCCGTGCTGCAAACTGGACTCTATTGATAAATACAATTAGATTCTCTACATCTCATCTGGGGAAAACATCATCATACTCACTAGTTCAGTAAACATTTAATAGCAGGAAGTCCTAAGAAAAGAATAAATGCAGACAGGTGAAACAACTTTCAATTTACATAGTGGTGAACGCAATTTGTTTTCATGATCTCCTTGAAGTTTCTTGTTTCAAAATTTTACTTTGGCCCATGTAAGACAAGATTGTAATTGCTACAATGAAAATACCTTTAAATCAGTGGTCTTCAACCTTTTCCACTTACAGATTAACAAAAAGTTCCCAAAAGAGGTGAAGGCTCAGTGTAGCCTATTTAAATCTCCCAACAACAGACTTCCTTTTTCTTTGTTATCTTCAGCAACTCTTCATATGCAGTGGGGGTCTGCAAATCATAGATTGAAAAACACCATTCTGGTAACTCAATACTGCTTTTCACTTAGCTCCATTAACTTTTCAAACAAAAAAAAGATGCTGTCTACTTCAGAGAGAATGTGGTCTCAGAGGTCTCATATCAAACACTATTTTGTTTTCACGAAATAGCAAAATATAAAACCTTAAGAGTTCAGTTTCAGAAAAAAACCTCTTTGATGTTACTTTTTGTGCAAGTGACTGCAGTTTCACTGACGGTGCTGCAATATGAAAAATGCCTGCTTTGTAATTCTTTGCGATGTCAGAAAACGTTAGGACAAGGAGTGGCTAGAGCAGCTCAGTGTGACAAGGAAAAATAGTATCGATTAAGTTGGAAAAAGACAGTACATGCAGAGGAAATCTTGATTAAATTGTACAAACATTAACTTCAGTATAAAGTATCTCCATCTCTCTTATCCTAAGAAAACATTCTGCTAAACAGATGATCTGAACCAGATGACAAGCTACTTCAGATCTCACACTACAACAGTTACTGACACCTTTATATCTCGGCATTATTCCCCTTTCCCAAATCAAGTGTAGTGTATAATCTCATAATGTTTGAAGGCTAACTTAAACTGTTATATTACTTTTGTAAACTAGAAACATTTTCTGAGCAGAAAGACATTTCTGTTCAAAATGCAAGTACTTCAAGAAAATGTATTCTGATTTTTCTGCTCCTTTCATATAATGATTTGATTAATTTAACAGTTTCAAGATCAACATATAATACAATTTTTGTAGTTACTTACACAGTGATATGTTCTTAAAATGTACTACTATGTCCTTTGTGTTAATTTTTTCATGATACCAATATTGATAGGTGCATAATATTTGCATCCATATTTGTGGCATTAAGTTTCATTAATTAGCTTAACAGCCTGGAAATTATCCAGGTTTCATTACTAGCAATATTCAGTCCTTCGCCTTTTGGGGGGGGGGGGGAATGTTTATAGTAGTATAAACTGTTTCAACTATACATATTACATACTACAAGAAACTACTAATCCATAACTAGACTAGGAAAAAAGCTCCTTAAATGTTAGCACTTTATTAGTATCTTGCCTTTGTATCTGATATTTAACATTAAGAGCACACAATAGAAGTTCCAAGAAAGACAGGACACAATATCCTTCTGACTATTCAGGAACACATTTTAGTTATTAACAATCGCTAAAAACTTTCAACAGCCAAGTTACTTAATCCAGAAGAGAAAAATGTACTAAAAATGTAGTTTGATGTAGCAATTTATGCTATAACATACCATTATACTATACTAGTTATGACTACTATATGACATACTGAAATGCTTGTCTTCGATCCTGATTTCAGTATTGAACTCTGCTCAGGGCTGAGAAAGCCTGTACATATACTCTTTAGCCTGCACATGCAGGTTTAGTTACCTACAGTAACTAAACAGTCAGAAAAAATCCATATAAACAGCCCCCACAAAGTAAAGAACTTGAACTTTATTACTTTAAACTGTTCTCCGTGTATCAAGTGTTCAACAATTTGATGTAACAACGAGCGGTCAAAAACCATTCTAGCACAAACCATATTAAATGGGATTAGAAAGACCTGTGCACATGACAAAAACCACTTTGTTATGCTATTATGTTGATAGAAGCAAAAAAACAAAGGCAATTTTATTTCTGGTTTAACCCCCTCAAATTCACAACTATTTTCTTTATCCTGAGGGGAAAAAAAAAAAAAGGAAATTTAAAACTGAAAGTAACCAGTAACTGAAGCAATTGGAAGTAACTGAAAGCTGTGAGATCGAAGAAAGGTTAGTGCAAAACTTGAAGGAAAATTAAGTTCAGAATAACCTAAATCTGCCTCAAAGTTAACTTATCCAAATTTTTCTTGCCAAATAAGGTTGCTGAGATTGCAAACATCAAGGGAAGTTTGGGAGTCTGTCTTCAAAACTTAACTCACATTTATCAGTCCTAAAGATTGATGCAAATCTTTTTCAATAAAGTACAAACCAGTTGTCCATCTGTCATTTTAAGCTGTTGAATTGTAGAAGGGGACGTGTTTCTCTTCTACTTGGCCAAGCAAAGGAGTGCAGTCCCTCCTCACTTAATTACCCAGCATACACCTAAATACCAACTGCCATCCCTCAACACTCCAGCGTTAGCTGTAGTGGCTATCTACCGCAGCATCCACTTCTCTCCAATTCATCATCGTCAGCTTTCTTGCTGACACTCTTCAGAGCTGCCTAGTTGATGAATTGCTCTGTTATTCATCCTATGTTAATCTGAGGCTGACGCAAGAATACCTTTCTGAAGACACTTAACAGTATTAAAACTCGGGACTACCAAGTGCCCTCAGTGTGCATTAAACCTCCCATTTGGAACCAACAAGCTTCCTCATGAATAGTTATGAATAAAATACAGTTACTAAATCAATAGGCACCAGGTTTATGTTCGCCATTACCTACAGACAGAGCTTCCGCACAATTCCTTGCTTCCCTGGAAGCTACACCCGAACTATTAGAAACTGGAAGTACTTTAATCCACATAAAATTTAACCTCAATATAGCGAAGTTTTTCCCCTCCTGCTCCTCAAAGTATCAGTATATTTCTTAAATGCCACAGGGCTCTAAAAAAAAAGTTCTTTAAAGTCCGTAAGCTTAATAAGCTTTTCTCAAGAAAGCCAGCTGCACTTTTTCTCAGTTTCTTCCGAGGTGGATTTGATCGTTAGATAACATTTTCTCCAGATTTTTCTCCCAGAGGATTATGTTAGTCTTGTCACAAAAAGAAAATTGATCCAGAGAATGAACAACAAAAACACTGCAAGAAATTTCAGGATGAGACTCAAACCTCTGTAAACATGTTATTACAACAGCTAAATATACTTCCCTTCTAAAAGCAATTGCAGTCACTAATTTTATACCTGAAAGAGAGATACTAAAGTATCACTCGTCCTCTCAAGATGTTTTAATACACATACAACCAGTCTTGCTGACAGAGCCTTGGTTAGAATTCATTCCTGATGCCTACCATATCATCTGTGCCCAGATTTTGTTCAAGTCTATTTACTAGTTGAGCACAAAGTTGACAGAACTATGTGAAAAGTGGGAACAAAAGAATTCGTACACAGAGTCTTGCTTCGGGTTGATTCAGACGCAGTATCAGATTTCCATAAAAGCCTTGAGTGATTTAAAGAAGTAGTAATTCCCTCAATAAACTGACTGCATATGAGCCTCTCTGGCTATACTTATCTTTATAGATGATACAACACTTAAGCAATTAAAGAACCACCAACAACTTGTCTCTACCATCATCTAACACGCACCATTTTCTCACTGCGCAATCTTCACAGCAAAAACATCATACTTTAAACAAGACAGCTGGGCCTATTACAGCATTTTAACCTTTAACACACAAACCAACTGTTAGAAAACACACTTGTCAATAGATTATACATGCAGTATTTACGCAGTTAGTTTGGAAGGTTGGGGGGGGTGACGACAGTTTGACAACTTTTTGAAAAAACGTCTGTATTAATTTCTGATGTAGGGGTGCAGCTCATGCTCCTTGAAAATTAGACAAACTGAAACTAACTAAAAGCAGTACACACAGATGAGCAACACTGCTCAAAAGCAAACAGCACCGGGTCAGAGAATTTTCCCTTGTGTCCTCCTCCTCCCCATTCCTGCAAAGAAACCGAAGATATTCCACAGCAAACAGAACACTTGGCTTGCTCTGCATCTAAAAATTGAAAATTATGCAATAACTTCTGATATAATTATTTGCAGGTTATTAGATTAAGCTGCATTAAGAAGAATATTAACCAATTTGCTACTGCTTCGAAGTCTGATAAATAAACGGAAGCATTATGCAACATCAGCTGAATCGGTTTTAGTTGAGTTGCCATTTAAATATATGAACCAAAACAGTAGTAAGTTTTTATTAATACTTGGGCTAGACGGATCTGTTGCTTACTTCTTAAGACTTCAGGCGTGTTCCATCTCCTAGACACTAATGAAGAAAATATACTGCAGTTAGGATAGGACATTTCAACCAAGTAATGTTTACAGATATTTCTAAAACAGTTCTTTAATCTGAATTAGACAGAACAATAAGGTTCATTATTTCAACAGTTGAAGGATTTAAAGAATTCAGCAAAGTCTGGCTTCCATCTAGTGTCAGCTAGTCTGAAAATAGTCACGTCCTTAAAATTTTGAATGGACCACATGCACAATCAGTTGACATCAATTAGGAATTTCAGACTTTAAAGTAAACCTTTAAGCAAATGTACTTCTCTCCCCAAGGCTCTGCTCTACATCTTCAGTACTGAGCCACCTCAGCCATTGAGCCAACACAACTACTCTGAGATCACATATGGTGAGCTCGACCACAGCTCTGATCTGTCTGAAAAGAAAGCCAGCACCACATAAAAACAAACTCAAAAAAACCCTGACCAGTCTAGAATATCAGCTGACCTTTTAAGCCAGAAACTGATCCACCAGATAAGGGTATGAAATACTGAATTATCTTCCCCTGCCTCCACTCTGACATCAGCAGCCGTTCTGATGCATTACCCCTCAGAACTACATCAACGTAACTTCCCAGTGAAGTAACAAGGTTTTAATTGTTTGTCATGCTGGCATTTTTTTTTCCTTTTCAAATCAAGCCTTAAAGAAGTGTAAACATTTATAAGGTTATATACCATTAAAAGTGTTAACTGCCCCACTATTAATATGATCAGATGTCAGTCAGTTATCATACAAATTGCTTCATGGTTTGTCCCCTTTAAAAATGGGTATCCTGAGGACCTTCTCGCCCACACACTTCCTGGAGCATTGCAATGAAGTTACAAAGTATCGAAGCATTGCTCTGGTACACCCTGTGCGGGAAACACAGAAAATCTTCCCTAACCCAGCACGCTGGGGAGTAAAGTACAAGTATTCAGGTGCAGCTGCAAAACAGTCAAAAATATTTTAAAAAACGATTCAAAAAAATTGACTTCCAGTGTGCTATTCAATCAACTATACACCACCAAAAACACTAAAAGAAAACCCATTAATAGCTACCTATTGCCATTTCCCTTCAAGAGAATGATTTTTTGCAATGAACTGAGAAGCAACATTTACTATTTTGACACCAAGTATAAGAATCAATTCTCAAATGAGAATTGATTGAAAATATCTTTCATATTTTAAACCATGAGAAAACAAAAAAACCTGTCAGCATTACCACAATCATTCCGAGCACTAACAACTGCTAAAATAACTGCAGAGTATCAAAAAAGCTGCAACTTCTAGTACCGGACCCAGACAACAGAGTTTTAGGAACACAACTGCCTGAATAGAAGCACTTTAACTTGCACCATCTTGTTGTTGTTGTTCTCAAGACACCCAACCACCCTGCAACAGACACCCTTCTAATGGAAACAAGAATAACACCGTGGAGGGGCAGCTCTGCTAATGAAGCTGCGTATTATTTCTCTTTAAAGTTGTCATGGCTGCTTTGATCATTCAAGCATAAATTGCCTCAAAAATCTAAGCTCTGCTATTAAAAAAGCTAACTCCACTTCCATTCAACACTTCCAAGGAAAACAACCAAAAGAAACCCAAACCCGGAAACTACTTTAACTCCACTACACAAGGTAACACGGGATATTTTCTCAAGTCAAAAGTAGAAATGTAATGTTGCTTAACTTTCAGCAACCCAACTCTTTGTCTCACCAGAGCAAAGGGCTCTAATTCACACTATAAACATAACACCTATCATCTGTTTCAGGATTTGAACAACAGCTCCAATGTCCTTCGCAGACCTAGATCCTCCTGAGGATACAGATGTATCTTACATGGTGCTTCTACTGACCTAACCAATTGCATTAAGCATAATGAGATTAAAAACACCGGCAGTTTTACTGTTCCTACTAGTTTTCGTAGCAGCGGGTTATTAAATTTCAATAAAATGTCAAAATCAACAGAAGATTTTCATAATACGCATTTTGATTAAAATCAATACAGAAAAATTCACACAGCCCGAATGAGAAGTTGTGAGTTATATTTCAATAAAGACAAGGGTCAGTGAGTGATGGCATTTCATTACTTCACAGCTTTCCTGGCAAGGCATTTCCCCTGTCTCCCCCCTCTCCCGCCCCCCCGAACATTCCATATAAGCAGTCGAATATAAACCATTGGTCTCCATGGCAGACTCCTGCTGTACTTCAATCAGCCTGAGCTGTCGGGATGGTGTGGTAATTAACGTCAACACAGGTCTATCCTGTCAGCCACGGAACATATACCAGATCAGCATTTAATAATACATCTAATTAACAGGATATCTGCATTCAGTATGTGTTCTCCAAAAAGGAGAGCATTTTAAGGTTACAGACAGTAATTAAAGACAATTCAAATGTACTTGCTTTTCTACCGAAGTCTACATAATTCAAATCATTTTAAGTATCCCATTCCTGATTTGGCATTCTTTAGTGCGCTCAGAGGAAGAAAGTTTTAATTTAAGAAGGACCAAAACAGATAAGCTGGTCAAAAAAGTTACTGAACTACAAAAGTTACTGTTCATTTCCTGTCCATCCTTCTCTTCACACCCACAGCATTCATCCAACACCAGCAACTTTTTCTGACTCGACCTTTTCTCTTTTGATACATGTAAACTTCATTTTCATAATTAGACATCCTAAGTGCGCTCTCAAAATCTCTTAAGTGTTTCTTAGTTGTTGGTTGTTGTTTTGGGTTTTTTTCACTTTACTATAGTATTAACCAACACACCTTCAGTTCTTCCTTTGTGCGCTATGAAAACATCATGTGCCACTCCCTAATCTAATCGGCACTTGGTCAGTTATTTCTAACCGTAGAGCAAGAGATTTTTATATGACACTAGTTACTTTGGAAACTATTGTGTACAATTTCACATGAGGAAAATGTAACTCAATTCCAACCTTAAGGAACAAGTAACACTAAACAAAAATGATCAAAAAGAATTCAAAGAGGTTGCTCTCAATTTAAAGACAAAGAAATCAACAGCTTTTGTACAGAACTAAGTCTACTATGGTTGCTCTTACTTAAAAAGCCTTCTGATGACAGACATTTTAATAACCAATTATTGGTAAGCAACAGTGAACAAACTGCTTTCAAAACATGAGCTTAAAGTAACTGCTTTACTAACTTAAAACTTCTATCAGTCAGAACAACACCCATCTTTTAAAGTTACTTTTAAGTTACACGCCAGGTGACTGCAATCCTATAAACGTTGCAGATACAGCTCC